ACCAAAGCCGTGTCTTTCAATCTTCATCAAGCGAGGGTGCCAACATATCGATATTGATCTTTTTACTTGAGCATAGTCATCTTGAGCACGTGACTTGATTCCATTCATCAAATATGAATTACTCCAAATGCATCAAGTCACTTCCAACACTTTATCCAATATAGATTTGATCCTCCACATCAATATGACCATCTTAGCTTGATTAGTACCTCAACTAAAGGCAAGTACTTTCTTCTTCACCCTAGCTAGGTTCTTCGGCTGCCAAGCTGTCGCTTGCCCTTTACCCTTGCTTAGTACCTCGAAACCTTTCCTTGCTATCTTCACCATCTCAAGCCATCAAGTCATATCTTGTGTTGAATCATCCATTCATTTGTATTGTTATCTTTTTCATTTCAATTTAGCAAGCTTCAAATATGAGACCACTCCATATGCAATCCCTCATGTCTCATTAACTAATTCTTACTGTGCTTGATTTCACATAGTACATGGAAATCCCACAATAAATAAGTCTAGATTGTTTATACAACAACACATCATTTTGGCTTTCATTAAGTACCTATGAGATAATCTATTACCTATCCACACTTAGCAAATGGGTTAGACCTTTAATCACGTTGTCATTCAATCATCCAAAACCCACTAAAGGGCTAGATGCACTTTCACTTTCCCACTCGCAACCGCGCCTTATTACCAATCATGTCCGTGACCATGCCCGTAGTGGCCACCGCAACCTGCTTGGGCCTCCGACCAACCTTCCTTCTACCAAATTCACTACATGGCGAGAGATCCAATGGTGGCAGGGGCTGCGCCGCCGGCTGTGAGGGTTGCGGGGGCTACGTGTTCTGCATGAGCCCAGGATACCGGTGGCCACAAAGGGTCCCGACCGGCCTCACGGTAGATGGAATCGATCTAGTCGATGACGATGCTGGTCGATGGTGACGACGTCGCGGCTGCCTCTGATGAACTCCACACGCCGAGGAGCCTCCATTCTCCTAAGTACCATGGAGATGTTACGCTGAAAGCACATGTTGCGAGCGTATGTTTCAATTGTTTCAGAGGTATGTTGTAGTTATTTCATATGGATGCTACAAAAGTAGATTAGAATATTGCATATGTTGCAACGGTTGTACATGCATTTTGCAAGCATCTATTTAAAATGTTTCATTTGTTTTTTCAGATGTATGTTGCAAGTGTGTTTATCTGGACGTTGCATATGTTTCACACATATGTTGCAAGTATTTAATTTGGATGTTGTATATGTCTTGCAATGGCTTTTTTAAAGTGTTTTCAGGTGTTTTTGCAAGTGTTTCATAGCATGTTTCAAGTTTATATCTGTCTTCGGACGTATGTTACAAATATTTTATCTGGATATTTTAAAAGCAGATCGGGTGTTGCACATGTTGCAATAGATCCACCTACCGCAGCCACCTGCTGCAGCTGCATGACAAGCGGATGGGGCACGAGTGGTCCCACGTGCGGTATAGCGGCGCGAGAGACGTCTGGGCGGCCCTTGTGGGCGCGCGAAAACGTTAGCCAGGGCAAGGGCGTGCTAGTGCTGGCGCGAACCGCGTGGGAAATGGAGTGTAGGCGCAAGCGTCCGTCCGGACGTTTCACGCCGTGTTTGAAATTGGGTTTTTTTGGATTGGTGCCATTAAAATTCTTGAAGATCTGAAATATACCATTACTATTCGTCTATCCAGAAGCGTGCCATTACAATTTTGACATACTCAGAAATATGCCATTTTGTACGCGAGACAAACGTTTGGGCTCGCCTGTAGGCTTACGTGGCATACGGTCGACCGTATCCGTCCGTCTCCCGTCTTCATCTAAACGGCGCGGTGAATGTCGTCGTCTTCCCCTCTCTGTCACTCTCGCTCTCTCTGTCTCTCCCCAAACCAAGAACCCTAACGAGGCGCTGGTGGCGGTGACTCCGGCGGCGGTGGCGGCGACGAACCCGACGGCGGCGCAGTAGGCCAAGGAGACGGCGCAAGGGGGTCCAGATGAGCTCGAGCTCCATCGCTGCTGGCAGGAGCAAGCAAGAGCACTCGATGAATGAGTCGTTCGTCAAGTGCCCCAACAACGTAAAGGTAAGGATTTGTAGTGTTTATTGAATCTTCATGATTTGGTTTCAATTTGACGGATCTAGGTTTTCGTAGGGTGATCCCACAACCTGTGGCTGGATCCGTTCGAAGAAGCAGTACTGGTTTGTCGCCGCCACCAGCGCCTCGTTAGGGTTCTTGGTTTGGGGAGAGACAGAGAGAGCGAGAGTGACAGAGAGGGGAAGACGGCGATATTCACCGCGCCGTTTAGATGAAGACGGGAGACGGACGGATACGGTCGACCGTATGCCACATAAGCCTGCATGCGGGCCCAAACGTTTGTCTCGCGTACAGAATGGCATATTTCTGAGTATGTCAAAATTGTAATGGCACGCTTCCGGATAGACGAATAGTAATGGTATATTTCAGATCTTCAAGAATTGTAATGACAACCAATAAAAAAAAACTTTGAAATTTGAGGCGGCGAACCACGACGATCAGAGAGGCAAAAGATGCTTTTTCATTGGGTTGGTTGGGCTGGAAGTCTGATGTGGCAGCAGGGCAAACCGCGTTGGGTTCTCTATCGGCCTGCTGTGCCAGAAGCACAGTTGAGCAGACGCGGACCAGCCTTCCAGGCCTGCCAAGTGGAGTGGGCTGAGAATGCATACACACTACACGACCATGTAAGTTTCGGCCCATGATTTTCAATTCAAAAGAACCTCGTATTAGTAGTGCTGAATAACTTACATTGTATCCGATGCTTATGTGCCAAACCAGAGCGTGATTTTCAATTCAAAAGAACCTCGTATTAGTCAAGCAAGGCCAGAAGAAAAAGGTTTCTTCCCGGATTAGCACAAGCACAACAATGTGGAGCTAGCATGAATGTGTATCAGGGCATCGCTAGCTTGGTCACAGTTGAGGCCAAGAATACGAACACGCTGCTTAGGAAGCTGGTCTGAACAATCGTGTCTGTCACTTGACATAAAACGGCAACATAATCCTGCAAAAGTTGTAACGAGACGTGATGAACTGATGATGATTCAAGCGCGTATTCGCTGAGACTCGGAGCTGCACGTAAAGCCTATGGAACTGCATATCGTTCGACTCCATCAGTCCATCACCATACACCATCGGTCTGTTCGCTGGTTGGTTTTTAGGCTGGTTTGGGCTGGCTGATGCTGGTTTGTTGTGAGAGAAAAATACTGTTAGCTGACTGATTTGGGCTGGTTGAAACCAACAAGCGAACAGGGTACATCACTCGTGCACTCCGATCCCGAAAAGAGTGCAATTTCTAAATAAAACCAAGTTTTTTTCAATAAAACTAAATTTATATAAAATAGTACTAATATTCATGTTTCCAAATACTAGACAGATGAAAAGAAATTCATCATTAATCTAATGATATTTATTCGATACGATAGTATGTTTTACACAGACTTAGTTGACTCGTAAAAACAAGAACTGTACTCCATCCGTCCAAAATTATAAGTCGCTTTGACTTTTTTGGTACATCTATTTACTATTCCTTCTATTCTAAAATAAATGTACATGCCACATTATATTTCAAGGAGTCAAACGTTCTAAAATTTGACTAAATATATTAGAAAATGTTCGAGATGTGATGATGATTGAAGCACTAACTTCCCGTTATCCGAAGGGGCTGAAGCTGCCTGTAAAGCAAAACTGCACATCGTTCGACTCCATATTCACCGTCACTAGTGTACTCCTTCCGATCCAAAAAAAAAAAGAGTGCAATATTTCTAGATTGAACTAAGTTAATTCTTTTGGATTCACTAAATTTATAAAAGAATATACTAACACCTATGCCCACAAATAGATTTATATAAAAATAAATTTTACAACTAATTTAATGATACTTATTTGGTATGATAGTATTTTTTTACACATATTTAGTTGACTCGTCCAAAATGAGAACTGCACCTTTTTTGATACAAAAGGACTCCCTCTGTTCCAAATTATAAGTCGCGTTGATTTTTTTATTCATCTATTTTGCTATAACATAATATTATATCTAGATGCATAGCAAAATAGATGTATCAAAAAAGTCAAAGCGACTTATAATTTGGAACGGATGAAGTATATTATATACTACTACCTTTGTCTTGAAATAAATACACATTCTAAAGTGTGACTAAATGTATTAGAAAATATACTAATATTTATGATAACAAATAATTATCATTAGATTTTTAAGATTAATCATATTGTGTAATTTTATAGTAAATCCATAAATTAGAGATACAAATATCAATATTTTTCTATAATTTTCTGAAAATAATTTACTCCACCTAAAACGAGATATGTATTTATTTTGTGATGGATGGAAGTGACGTGCTACGGCCACACTAGTCGACTAAAGGCAGCAACGGCTAACCACGACAGCACATCGAGTGCCCCCTCCTCTTCGTGGCGACCATCGAGTGCCTTTCGCTGCCCACACCCAACACGCACCCCCTGCTGCGCGGCGCGTAACCACCGGCCGGCCCGTTGCCCCCGGCGACGTCGGCGAATTCGAAAGCCGAGCTCCATGCCCTCCTGAAGTCCTGAGCTCATGCGCCGGCCGCGCCGCAGTAACTGTGAGCTGCTTGGCTCGCTAGGCTCCCCGCGAGGTGCCCCGGGCCTCGGCACATGAACACAGTGAATGCACGCGCGAGGCTCCCGTCCCCGTTCGTCCTCCGCGCTCGGACGGCCGCGCCACGACGTCGCGCGCTATAAATACTCGCGCGCCGACCACGTACCGCACTCGCAGCTCCACGGCCACGCACGCACCATCATACACACACACTCGTGCTCGCTACGTCAAGCCACCGTCGTCTTCCCTACCTCCCGGGTGCTTTTCGTTCTGATCCATGATCACACGTCGATCACATCATCACCGGCGCCAGTGACATGATAGCGCTAGTGCAGTAGTGTTCAACCGCGCCGTCGGCTACGAGAACAATGCAGCTTTCCGCCAGACTCCTGTGCGTCCTCGCCATCCTCCTTGCCGCCCAGCCGTCGCACGCCGACTCGGCCGCCGCGATCGGCGCGGCGCGTGGCGGCGACGACAGGCCGTCCCCGCCGTGCTCGCCGGTGGACCGGGCGGCGCTGCTGGGCTTCAAGGCGGGCGTGGCCGTGGACACGACGGGCATCCTGGCGACGTGGACGGGCGGCGACTGCTGCGGTGCGTGGGAGGGCGTGACCTGCGACGCCGCCATGGGGCGGGTCGTGGCGCTGCAGCTGGAGGCGCCGCCACCCAAGTCGCGGCACTGCATGCAGGGCATGCTATCGCCGTCCCTCGGCGGGCTTGAGTTCCAGGAGTCCCTGGTGGTCCGCGACATGGCTAGGATCGGGGGCGCCATCCCAGCGGCGCTGGCGCGGCTGGCGCGGCTCAGGCAGCTCTACTTCGAGGGCAACATGTTGTCCGGGCCCGTCCCGGGGAGCCTCGGTGGGCTACGGTCGCTCCAGTACCTGTCGCTCGCGGGCAATCGGCTAGACGGGCAGCTGCCGCCGGAGCTCGGTGCCGTCTCCGACCTGGAGTAGATCAACGTCGCCTGAAACCGTTTCTCCGACGCGGTGCCTCCGAGCTACGTGAACCTGTCTAGGCTGACGTCCCTTGATCTCGGCAACAACCTCTTCTCCGGCGTAGTGCCCGGGTTTCTTGGCCTGTTCAGGAACCTGGCCTTGCTGGACCTCAGCAACAACAGCTTCTCCGGCGAGATACCGGTGTCACTCTGCACCATGCACAGCCTGACGTGTTGAAACTATTCGAATCACATGGTCATAGATCTAGCCGGGTATATCTTGTAAATTGATAGCATGTCCTAATACATGAACTAGACAGAGATTAGATGGAGGAGTAGTGCTAGGTTACCGACCATCGTAGGCCTTCGATCCAGAGGCGTCTGCCATGGACGTTGCGTCGGTGTCTGCGCGAGGGCAGCGACGGTCGGTGAAGACGGTGTTGGTGATGGACGGTGGCGACCGGTGGTGAAGATCGGTGGCGGCCCAGTGCAGTGGTGGCGGGGACGCAGTCCGATGGCGGCGCGGCTGGTGGCTTTCCGTCACTGGCTGCGCCCCTCTAGATTATGATTAGGGTTTAGGTTTCGGTGGGGAGCTCGGCTCGGGCGAACCTAGTGCTTAGAGCCACCGGCCCCCATCTCTATTTATTGTGTAGTGTGACAGGGATCCTCCAGCCATAGTGGGCTGGGCGTCTCCGATCAGGGCGCGGATCAAAGGCCCAACTGGGGCCGTTGGGCCCAGTTTGAAATTAGAGATCAATCTAACAATCTTCCTCTTGATCTCTTACCATCTTTCCATTTCATATCATTTACTTTTGTTCATTCCATTACAGATTGGCGCATAGAGTATATTTCATCGTCACGGTCAATTACCGATAGATTTAACAACTACAACACACCACTCTGTTATGAAATAGATACTTAACTTTGGGCCTTCTTTTGTCCAGGAATTATAGGCTTTCCCTTAAACCCATGCCGGCTATATGTTCTCTGAACACGTTGGGTGGTAAGCCTTTTGTAAGCGGATCCACGAGCATCTTTTCGGTACTTATATGCTCAAGACTTATGACATGATTTATCTTTCACAACATAATACTTTATGTCAATGTGTTTGGCAGCACCACTTGACTTATTGTTGTGAGCATACTGTACTGCCGGATTATTATTGCAGTATAGCTTAAGTGGTCTATAGATATCGTCAACCACCTTCAAACTGGGTATGAACTTCTTTAGCCAGTTCACCTGCCCCGTTACCTCATAACACGGTACAAACTCGGCATACATTGTGGACGATGTAGTGACGGTTTGCTTTCAGCTTTTCCATGAAATAGCTCTCACGCATAATCAGAATCTAAATACCCCACTATATGGAGTGAATCTGATCTTCTTTACGTCATCATGAGGCCTTTCGTTCCTTGCAAATAACGCAAGACTTTCTTTACTAATTTCCAGTGTTCCGTTCTAGGATTGCTCTGGAATCTGCCAAGTAACCTGGTAACAAATACTAGGTCAGGGCGCGTACATACTTGAGCATATTGCAAGCTTTCGACAGCTGAAGCATATGGAACCGTTTTCATTTGATCGATCTCATACTGGTTCCTGGAGCATTGAAAATCCCCATATCTGTCGACCTTGACTATAGGAGCAGGTGAGGAACTACATTTGTGCATACTGAATTTCTTTAAAATCTTTTCTATGTATGCCTTTTGTGACAGTCCTAATACCCCTTTACTTCTATCTCGGTGAATCTCAATCCCTAGAACGAATGAAGCTTCACCAAGATCTTACATATCAAATTTTGAGGACAAAAACTTCTTTGTCTCCAGTAGTAGACTGACATCACTACTAGCAAGTAAGATATCATCCACATACAGGACAAGAAAGATAAACTTCCTATTCTTAAACTTTGCATAGACACAATTGTTCTCTACATTCTCTTTAAACCCAAAATTTCTTATTGTCTTATCAAATTTCAAGTACCACTGTCTTGAAGCTTGTTTTAATCCATAAATGGATTTCTTTAAGCGGCATCCCATTCGTTCTTTTCCTTTCATGGCAAAACCTTTCGGTTGTGACATGTAAACATTTTCCTTCAAGTCCCCGTTGAGAAATGTCGTCTTTACATCCATCTGATGTAATTCTAAATCGTAATGTGTCACTAATGCCATTATGATTCTGAAGGAATCCTTACATGAGACTGGAGAAAACGACTCATTATAATCAATTTCTTCTTTTTGTGTAAAGACTTTTGCCATAAGTCGCGCTTTATATCTCTCTATATTCCCTTGAGAGTCAAGTTTTGTTTTATAGACCCATTTATAACCTACTGTTTTGGCTCCTTTAGGAATTATTTCTAAGTCCCAAACTTTATTGACATTCATAGATTTCATTTCATCTTCCATGGCGTCAAGCCACTTTGATGAATGATCACTTCTCATGGGTTCTTCAAATGAGGTGGGATCATCCTCCATTTGAAATTCCTCAGTGTTGTATACTTCATAGTCAGCAGGAATAGCTGATTTTCTAACTCTCTGAGACCTTCTAGGGGCCTCCATATTTGGCACATATTCTGTTTGAGGCTGTTGTTGCTCCCCCTCATGTGTGGCAATAGGTTCTACAGGATCCGGAAGAACAGGTTCCTCATCGTCATTCATTGTTGCCACAGACGGAATAACAACATGTGCTGGCACCACAGTATCTTGCACTATCGGTGCAGCGACAGCAGGTAGTGAAAAAAATGGCTCATGAATCATCGGAGTGGGCGCATACACCCGCTTCTCTTCAAGGTTAATTTCTTGAGCTACCATGCTCCCCCTCATCATTTCATCCTCTAGAAAGACAGTGTGTCTTGTTTCCACAAGCTTTATATGTCTGTATGGATAGTAGAAACGAAAATCTTTTGACTTTTCTAGGTAGCCAATAAAATGGTAACTTACTATTTTGGGATCTAGTTTCCCAATGTTTGGGTTAAATACTTTAGCCTCAGTAGGACTCTCCCACACACGTAAGTGGTTTAGTGAGGGTACTCTTCCTGTCCACAACTCATACGGTGTTTTGGGTACCGACTTACTTGGTATTCTATTGAGAATATGAATGGCGGTTTTTAACACCTCCATCCACAGGCTCAACGGTAAGGTGGAGTAACTTATCATACTACGCACCATATCCATCAGGGTACGATTGCGTCTTTCAGCTTCTCCATTCTGCTGAGGTTCACCCGGTGTAGAATACTGGGCTACTATGCCATTCTCTTGTAAGAACCTTGCAAAAGGTCCAAGAACTTGGCCATATGGGGTATGCCGACCGTAGTACTCCCCCCCACGGTCGGACTTGACTATCTTAATCTTTAAATTATGTTGGTTTTCAACTTCTGCCTTAAATATCTTAAATTTATCCAATGCTTCTGTTCTTTCTTTGATTGGATAAATGTAGCCATAACGGGAGTAATCATCTGTGAATGTTATGAATGAATCATAACCATCCACACTCTTTATAGGAAACAGACCATAGATGTCTGTGTGAATAAACTGTAAAATTCCCGCGCTTCGTTTGGCATCTTTGTTAATTTTCTTTACATACTTTGTTTTTATGTATTCTCTGCATTGTTCTAAATCTGAGAGCTCTAATGGAGGAAGAATATCATTCTTAACTAGTCTTTCTATTTTCCCCCTCGAAATATGGCCTAAACGACAGTGCCATAATTTCGACGACACATCATGAGCTCTCTTTCGTTTTCTGTTTACATTCCGCAGACGATGATACATTCTCATTGTCGCACGCAACGTTCGTATCATCGCATACAACATTTACATCATCACGTAGTGATAACAAATAAAGCTCATTTTGTAAGATAGCAAGACCAACACATGCATTATTAAATATTATCTTACAATTTGCCATTCCATCATTGTCCAAGCATGAAACACTAATCAAGTTTCTCTGTAAAGAGGGAACATAAAGTACATCTCTAAGTAAAAGTGTGAAGCCATCAGCAAGCTCTAGAAAATGATTGCCAACGGCTTCGACATCTGCTCGGACTCCATTTGCAACTTTAACGTGTCTTTCTCTTCTTTGCGTAGTCCTCGTCGAACGGAATCCCTGTAAGGAATTAACAATATGAACAGTTGCACCTGAGTCAATCCACCAAGTAGATTTTGAATACTGTACATACAGAGATTCATTTATGAACGTAATAATGTTCTCACTTTTCTTTGCCATGATCATCTTTAAGTAATCGAAACAATCTTTCTTATAATGTCCCGTCTTCTTGCAATAGAAACATTGGTCTTTCTCTACTGTGAACTTATTCTGCTGAGGCTGATACAGCATGGGACCCTTTTCCTTTGACTTTGAGAAAGAGTTAGCATTATTATTCTTTTTCCTATTGTCTTTCACATAATTGATAGTGCCACCATTGGCATCTTTCATTCTCTCCTCCTCTTGCACACACATAGCCATGAGCCTTTCTAAGTCTCACTTCTCGGACTATACGTTGTAGTTGACAATAAAAGTGTCAAATTCCTTTGGCAAGAAAGCAAAAATCAGATGGATAAGGAACTCTTCCTTGAGAGCCAGATCTATTGGTTTTAGTTTGGATGTCAAATTGCTCATCCTTAGTATATGCTCTCTTATGCCACCATTTCTAGAGTACCTCTCTATCACTAGCTGCTTTATCAGCTGGGTAGCATGTCTTTGAAGTGCCACTGAACTTACTCTTTATTCTATCGAGGTACTCGGTGACGGTGTCACACTCTGGGATTGAGCCCATAATTATAGGCTCAATCGTGTTCTTTATCACAGCCATATATTTCTTGTTGGCAGTGACCCACTTCCTATGCTCAAGGTGATATGACATCTTTTGGGATTCAAAACCTCTCTCTAGTTACCCAAGCGGCAGCAGCCTCGTTTGTCTCTCTCACCGGTGCCACAAGCTCAGTGGGACACGGTGAAGTGACTACCCAGTCCATCTCAGTCAAGATGAAGGTCAGGTCAATCTTTTTCTTCCACTCTGTGTAGTTGTTA